TGGTCCCTGGCTGTCAAGGCTACAGGGATGGGGGCGTTGGGAGAATGTACTCCTTTGGTCACCAGACGAGGGTGCCTGGGCTCTTCCTGTTGGCAGTCAGGACCTTATTTCACTCTGGGTATGCCTGTATGGTTATTCTGTGTCCTATTGGGAATTCCTTGAAGTTACCTTCTCTGTTCCTCACTCCTGATTGCTGCTATCTTTGTCTCAAGATGGCCACCCAGTGCCGGGGCCGTTGGCAGGGCCCCTCGTCTCTGTCTCTTCTCTTGCACTATTTCCAGTCAGTTTCTTCTTCCAGTCAGTGTTCGGTCTAGTTCTTTATCCTTTCATTTGATGCTCAGGGTTCCAAGACTGTCCTCTGTGTGTGTTTCACTTTGTTTTTCAAGTCTTTATTGTAAAGGGACGGTGTGTTGTATCTGACCAAGCTACCATTTTTACCAACATTGATTGATTTTGGGATGTCAAACTAACCTTGCATTTCTGGACTAAATCTCACTTTGCCATGGTAGGTAATTCTTTTTATAAATTAGTTGTTTTGGTTCGCTAGTGCTTTCTTGAGGATTTTTGCATCTGTATTCTTTTTGTTGGTTTTAATAGTTGTAAAGCTGAAGTTCTGATAAGTTCCAGACAGTGTGATTGGTTTATATTTTATATGTCTCTTCAATTTCTTTTAATCAATAGCTTCTTCCTTCATATCTTTTTTCCTTCCTTGGAATTTATTTGATGAATTAACCATGTTTTTTTGGCTATTATAGTTTCCCAGAGTCAAGATTTTGCTGATTGCACCACCAAGATATTGTTCTCTGTATTTCTTAAAGGGGGTTAATTGGATCTATAGGCTTGAGCAGCTTAGATGATATTGTGTCTTCCTTCAAGATGCACATAATGTCTGATTGTCTTTCCTTTCACAGTGTTAGCAGCATTGGGTGATCAGTGCCTGCATCCATTAATTCTTTGGTGTTGTAAAATTATGATATTCTAATTCTGTCATTCCTTCTTTTATTAGCTGGTATACTTTAAAGAAAAACTTCTCATCAGCTAACTGGTTTGGTTTTGGGACATGTTTTAACCCATTGTAGTTAATTTTCTTAGTGTTGTTCAAATTATCCAATTTTTGGCCAGTGGGAGCCTGTTCATGTTGGATCCTATGCCTTTTTCTCAAGACCCTAGTAGTCTTTAATAGATCCCTTGCTGCCAAAAAATGATATTTTAGGTCCAGGTTGTACATTTCCTGCCTCAGACTTGGAATCAGTAATTTCTCCAAGAAGTCCTGGTTCTTTTTATTGAGGAATTACTTTAGGGGCTACAATCTGAGCACTAGGGTTTTTTATTGCTATTGGGTTAGCAGTTGTCTCTAGGAATCTTCAATTGCCAAAGCTAAGAAACTTATCCTGAGTTCAAGCTGAGGCTTCTGATGAATTCAGGATTACAGTATTGTTACTTAACCTCTACCATTTTACATCTTTATCTCCTTTCTTCTTTACCAGGAATACTAGTTCTACAGTGGTAGCAGTGAAACCTTAGAATATCGCAGATATTCATGTGTTTTATTCCACATTACACAATGGTCTCAGAATAACAACACCATCGCTGAAGAGTTTTCATTCGTTTTTCATACTGTTCTTTTTGACCTTAGAATATATCCTGCAAGAGATCTACGGTGAAATTACAGTTTTACAGTCACTTGAAATAGCGCCTCTCTGTGTGGTTATGCCATCAACTAGATAGACACTTACACTGATTTGTTTCATGTTATTTTTCAATTTTTAAAATTAATTTTGGGATTACATGCTATATTTACATGACTCCAAAGTCAAATCTATAATAGAAGGAAGATTTATGTCCTAATTATCTAATGTGCTGTAACAGAAATACCACAATTGTCTGGCTTTAACAAACAAAAATTTATTTTCTCACAGTTTAGGAGGATAGAAGTCCAAATTCAGAGCACCAGCCCTAGAGGAAGGCTTTCTCTCTCTGTCAGCTCTGGAGGAAGGTCCTTGTGTCTTCAGCTTCTGCTTCCTCGTTCCTTGGGGATCTCTGTGTGGCTTGGCATCTGTCTTACCGCATTTCTGTTCCGCTCACTTGTTTAATCTCTTTTACATCTCAAAAGAGGTTGACTCAAGATTCATAATCCTGCCTCGTTAACATAGCAAAGACAACCCATTCCTAAATGGGACTGTAACTACAGGCAGAGGGGTTAGGATTTACAACACATATTTTTGGGGAACATCATTCAATCCATATCATTCCACACTTTCGCCCCCAAAAGTTCATGTCCTTGCCACATGCAAAACACATTCGCCCCATCACATCATCCCAAAAGTCTTAAACCAACTCTAAGTCCAAAATCTCATTGCTGAATCATCTAAATCAAATATGGGTGAAACTTTAGGCATATTCCATCCTGGAGCAAAATTCCTCTTCATCTGTGAAATCTAGACTACAAGTTACCTGTTTCCAGAAATACAATGATGAACCAGGTGCAAGGTAGATATTTCCATGACAAACAGGAGAAATTGGAGGGAAAGAAGGGGTAACAGGTATCAAGCAAGTCCAAAACCCAGAAGAACAAATTGCATTAGCTCTCAAGTCTTGAAAATAATCCTGTCTTCTCTGAGACCATCTGGGCAATGGCCCTGCCCTCCAGACTCTGAGTGTTGGCCATGCTCTCTGGATTCTGGGTGAAGGCCCCTCTGCCCTGGGCTTCACCTCCGCCTTCCAGGCCCACTGGAGTTTTCAACTCTGCTGCTTTGGCTTTAGGCAGCCCCATTCTCCTATCCATCTGAGTGGCGACTCCACCCCTTCGGCCCCGGTAGGCCTCATTCTTCTGCCCTTTGGGCATGGAAGCTCCTCCACCTCAGCTTTGGGCAGCGCCCCACTCCCCTGGCATGTCTTAATAGCAGCCCCACACTCTGGAACCAAGTTGGCAAAGATTCAACTCTTTGAAATCAAGAAGGCCCTGCTTCCCGTGCTCCTTCCAACAGTTCTGCTGATTTTTTAGCTGCTGCAGGGATGGTCCTTTTCTGTTCTTTGAGAACAACAGATGTAACGCTTTTGGTCTGTTTCCTGCCTGTAGAATTCCAAGAGGCAGACCACGTTCTATCCTTTTGTTCTTTCTCTGTCCCCTTCAGTCTAAGCTGATGGCTTTTCTGCTTTGGTCATTGGTTAGATCTATCAGTCACAGGCTTCATCTCTTTAACAAAAGTTTGTGTAGCTGTATCCTTGGTGAACTTTCTAAGTCATGTGTCCTTAGTTTGTACAATGGAATTTTCCAAATCTTTAAGTTCTGTTTTCATTTTGCACAGTTTATTTTTAAGTCTATCCCTTTTCTCTGGCATTTTACTATAACCAGCAAGGAGAAACACGCGGCCCCTTTAAGATCTTGCTTAGAAATCTCATCAGCTAGATATCCACACTCATCACTTACAAGTTCTACCTTTCACCAAACATTTCAACATAGTTCAGACAAGTTCTCTGCCACTGCATAAAAAGCATCACCCTTCCTCCGTTGTCCAGTCACGTGTTCATCATCTTTTTTCAAAGCCTCACCGGAAGCACATTTAATGTCCACATTCCGAGCGACATTCTCTTGCTCATGCCGTGTGTGTTCTCTGAGATGATAGAGGCCTTCCCTGTAGCTCTCCTCACTTCCCTTCTGAGCCCTCAGCAGAAATGGCCTTTGATGTCCATCATTCTATCAACAATCTCTTCAAGGCAACCTAGGCTTTTACTATTAAACACCTTAAAACTCTTCCAGCCTCTACCCATTACCCAATTTCAAAACCACTTCACATTCTGTTCGAGCCGCACTCCACTCTTCTGGTGCCAAATTCTGTCTTAGGTCTCTAGTGCTGCTGTAACTGAAATACCAGTAGTGCATGGCTTTAATCAACAGAAATCTGTTTTCTCACAGTTTAGGGGGCTAGAAGTCCGAATTTAGAGCACCAGTTCTAGGGGAAGGTTTTCTCTCTCTGTCAACTCTGGAGGGAGGTCCTTGTCTCTTCATCTTCTGCTTCCTGGTTCCTTAGAGCTCTCTGTGTGTCTCGGCATCTATCTTACCCCATTTCTGCTCTGCTTGCTTGTTTAATTTCTTTTATATCTCAAACGAGATTGACGCAAGATACACCCTTCACTAATTCTGCCTCATTAAGATAACAAGAACAGCCCATTCCCAAATGGGATTATAACCACAGACATAGGGTTAAGGATTTACAGCATATGTTTTGGAGGGACATAATTTAATCCCTAACAGTATATTTAAAAAAACAAACAACCTCATCCCTGTCTGTCTCCTGCATATTCCCTCTTTCCCTTGATAAGGAAACCACTTTATTAATGACTTTCCTTTTTTTTTTTTTTTAACATACACAGAAGCGAGAGAGAGGTGGGTCAGTAGATAGGTGATAGATTTCTCCCTTTTTCTTATATAAAAATAATATACATACTTTTCTCCACTTAGGTTTTTTTGTTTTTGTTGTTTTACTTTACTAAACATCCTGGAGTCATTCTTCAGGAGTCTGTAGCCTCCTGCTTTTGCAGTCCACCTACAGGATTTCGTCATCGGATGTTCTGGGGATCACTGACTCAGCCCCTTAGTTAATGGTGGTTTAGGTGGTTTCAGCTTTTTGTGGTTATAAATCCTCTTGCATTCTGTAGCCTCATTTAGGCAGACGTCTTTTCCATTTTTCTTCTAATTTATTTTTCGTATAGATTCCTAGAAGTGGAGTTTCTGGATCAAAGGGTAAATTGATTTAATTCTGTTAGATGTTTCCAAATTCCTCTCCATGGAGGTTATAGTAATTTACCATCCCTACCAGCAATATATAATAGGATTTCGCCAGCAAAAATATGTGGCCAAACTTTATTTTTGCCAGTGTCTTTGGGGAGAAGGTATCTCTATGCAGTTTTAAATTGCGTTTCTTCTAAAGTGAGTTGTTTGTCTTGTTCTGTTCTCTAGTTTTTCTGATCGATTCTCTTTTTTCTGTTTGATTTTTCAGAGTCAATACAGATTTGTATGTGAAGCTATTTTGAAAGTCTACGAAGAAGGGTTTGTTAAGCCCCTAACGTCATCATCAAGTAAATGAGAAAGCGAAAGGAATGGACTGTGTTGGGAAACTGCTGTCCATCACACTCACGGTGCCATAGTACTGCTCGCAGGAAGTGGCGTTTAAACAAAAATGAAGAACTAGCAAAAACTTGGAAACTTCAGCACTGCTGCACTTTACGTTGAAGAAGTCACTCTCTCGAACTCTGGAACTCGTGTATTTGAAGACTGTCTCATGCTTTGCTCCGAACAAACACTGACTAACTGAGTATGTTCAGGGTAATTTATGAAGTTTGTGGTGGTACCACGTGGTCCCCTTCTGGCAGAGTTGCCACAGACAAGGCTCAGAGTCCTCGTCATCTCTATTACACACCTGTATCTTGAAAGCAAAAAGAAGTGAACATCAGGAGTCAGCCATGGTCTTTCCCTGTGGTTCATGTACTTAACTATCTACTAATTTTCAGATTTTATTTTTAAAATTTTAGCAATATCGTTCTCAATATTAGCCAATATTCTGCCTATGGATGCAGCACATCTTTCCCTGTACTCCCCCGGTAGAGACCTGCTGTTCGTGAGAAGTATGGAATTCGCTTTTCCCAGGAAATGCTGCACATTGTCCAGTTACCAGCATCTTCTAGAAGTATAAATATGAAAGATGAGTCTACACGTTCTCTTGGATTTAATAATGTAACTTATATTTATCATAAGGCTGGCTTATTCCAAATCATGTGATTTCACATACTTGATGTAAATGAATGCATGCATTGTGTCTTAACCCCTTAAGTGCCTTGAGACGTCCTTGTATGTCTAACGAAAAGGCACTCATTTGACCCCACTAGGAGGTATGTATGTATATTGTACATTCTTACATTTTTGTGAATTTTCAGTAAGTTCACATCTTAAAGAACAGCTTCCTGTATTGAGAGTTATGCAGTCAAAGAAGGGTAAGGAAGTTCTGTTGCTTTCATTCTGAACTCAATGCTTGTATTTTGCCATAAAAAAGGAGAGAGAAGAGAGAATTTGTGTTCTTTTGAGTGAACGCGCTGCTGCTATCAAATTTTTCAAAATCTGCACATTCCTTTCCTGGGGGACAGGGGTTCAGTTCAGCGGTTCAACATAAAAAGACGCTTTATTCTTCAGATTTCGTATTTAGTTTATCCCCGCTCTTAGATATGATATCTAATATGCACATAAGAGTTAAACATCGATACTCTAAGGTAAAGTTATAACAGCTGATTATGATTTATTCCCATCACTAACGAAATTGTTACTTTTCAGAGTCCATTTCAGTTCATATCAAGCTTTGTGCACACTGTCGAGATGCTTCAACCGAGGAAGTGTTACTGGCTTGTCTCTACATGCGATCGCTCAGTCACTGTCATGAGGGTTGCTTGTCATTTTTGTGTAGTTAAATTGCTCCAGTTTGTATGTACTAATTTAAATTGCAAGTATGTTAATAAGGAGAGTTTTGGTTGTCCAGCCTGGTGGAAGATCTGATTTCCCTTTAAGGATGTGTATATTTTCCTCTTTAGGCTGTTGTTTTATTTTTAGTTGCCCAGTTTAATGAGGGAAATTTGCTCACCTACTCAAATGTTATTTTACACAATTATTTTATAAGAATTGTGGTCAAAATAGATTTAAATATCAATGGCTTTTTAATATTTCTCTATAGTCTTGATGAGATTTAGAGTCAAATGAGAGCTATTTTGGAATGCCATTTAGTATGAGAAGAAAAAGTACGTTTAAGAAACTTCAGTCTAAAATGATAACATTTCCAAGTATTCAAAATTCATAATAATAATTTTTAGAAGTTATACTTCTAAACATTAATAGACAAGATACCAAATAAATTATCGTTTTAAAATATTTTAAAATTTGTTTAAAGAGAGGAGTAAACATAACCTTTATGTCGAAGAGAGATTGTCTTATCTATTTCCAGATTTTAGAATGAAGACAGTGTAGGATAGTAAATAACCATAGTGTTATGTAAACATTCCATTCTTACCACCAGATAAGTGTAATCTAGGCTGCTGTGTGGCACCATGATAAATTGGAAGCTGAAAACGTAAAATCATGCTGGGGGGTCGGGGGATGACGTATGATGCAACTTTCAGCGGTTGTTTCTCACGAGAATGTTCTGTGTGTATAGACGAATAAGGCAGCCGTAGACAGAAGGAGACGGCTGTGTAGATGCAAACCCACAGATGTCATGGTTGGAGTGTTCTTTAATGTAACGCTGGGTCTGCACTTCTGAAAGTGACTCTAATAATTTGTGGGCCACGCGTAATGCTGCCTTTCTCTAATCATTAATGCCTGTCTTTAAATGACAGTGTCTTAGAAGCTTAGAATTACATTTGAATTTCTCCTGTGTGAATTTTCATCTGAGCGCCACCCTCTATCAGTACTTTTATGTACAGAAAGATCCTTTTTTAAAAGCATTTTTATTGGGATCTTCCTTAAATTTAAAATAAATTGTCCTTCACACCTTCTTAACACGAATATGCTAACTATGTTTCCCTGTTCACCCAAAAGATAAGACTTTATCCAGCACACCTAAGAATTTTTTAACCTGTTTGTTAGTAATCTAAAGAGGTTTCTAAGGATAGTCCTAGCTTTCAGACTTCAGTTAGTTCTAGACCTACTCCATATCAATGCAGTTTTGTGTGATAAAATTCCTAGTGTCTAAGCTACTCTCCCCTCCTCCAGCTACCCCTCACACACACTCGAAGAAGCAATGCTGGTTTTTATTCTGACAAATGGAAATAGATACTGATGAATCGATGGGCTTTTGTAAATGCTAAGAAGTGTTTGTGTGACCTTTCCCCTGATTTGGGATGGCTTTTCCACGTTTATTGAGCATCTGATTTGTGTCAGCACTGTGTACATAGGATTAGGAATATTTTGGAATAGGCTTTATATTTCCCAAAAAAGGCGTTGGTAGTATTTGTTACGCCAATGCATCCGTTCAAAACAGCGGCAGAGTAAACAACCTAAGAAATAATTCCCTTTGTGTGGCCTGCTAATACTAGTAGGATGGGTAGACAAGGGAGGATCATTTTGATTACGAGTAAAGAGAAAATTGATTGTATGAAAACTATCTTCCAATATGTAAATGTGACGTGAAGCCATGAAGACAGTTGCTTGAAGGTCGCGAGAACTAGCACGGACACGGAGATACTTTTGTGCGTTTATTTATGTGTGTATTTCCCAATGGCCAACGCGCACAAACAGAAGGAAAGGGTTGTTGGAACTAGAGGGTTGTTTATTATCTGTTGGCAGGTCTGATCGGGTCTAATCAGGTGTCTGAGCAAAAGTCTTCTGTCTCTACTAGAAGTAATAAAACTTGCGAGCTGAAAGGGACTTGAAAGATTTGCTCCAGTCTCCCCTTCCCCCATCTTATTGGCACAAAGCAGAGGTTCCGCAGGGCAAGGGATTGAGCAGAGCCTGCTTTTCCGCAGCCTGAGGTTCCCAGTTCTCAGTCGGGTGTTCTTTGTATCCTACTAGGACGTCCGTAAATTATAATGTGAATATGTGAATACCCTAAATTCTTGTAACTTTTAGCCCGTTTCAGCTCAAAGAAGCATACGCGGGCAGTGTTTTCACTTACTAACTGTGGTGACCTTGGAAGATGGCACTTAGGGTAGAAAATAACTAGGCTTCAGAAGTGATCCTAGGATGCTCACTCAGTTTGCTAGTCCTGCTTCCCCAGCAAGCATGGGCTTCTGTATTTAGGTTCGTATCCGTGCAGTATGAAGACCTTCTGGACTGCAAATTAGAGGACTAGTTTTTAAAAGCACTTAAAACATATAACAAAGATTGAGGACGTATGTTCATTTATAATAAATTTATGTCCATATTGTGAACATGTAAGATAATCAAAGCATTGTTTGTTTTATAGTCTTATTGGGAAGGGAGAAGGAAACAAGAATTTCCGACGTGCTGTTTAATATTTGTATTTTGAATATTTAAATATTCAGATGATAAGGTTGCCAAAGTAGTTTTGAATTGACAAGAGTTATTTATACCACAGTCACGTGGGAAATGTTTACAGGCTTTTTATTATTGTAGTGGCCCTTCTGTAGTTCAGATGAATTTGCATTTAAGACACTCATAGTAAATACTTTATGGTGGTTATTTGTTGGAATAAACATCTCATAATAATATGACAAGACATGGATAAATTATGCCTCAGCATGCTTTTTATGTAAGCAGTCACATCCAAAAAGTAACTGACTTTATGTTAATGTTGCTTACTCTACTCATGGGCTTCAGCTACCCAGCCACAATGCCTGCGATCATTTTTTATGGTGTTTCCTCTAAGTGAAATAGCTATGTTATTAAAGCCCGCCAGGTTAATTTTATCAAGTGTCAGAGTTACTGATCTCTTGGTAAATACATATTGGTGGCTCAGTGTGATTACAAGCTGCAACGACTATTTTATGAAATACTTAGAAAATTCTATAGATACCAAGAAATTTTTATAGTCCTAAGACATTTTGGAGGTATAATTGCTAATACATAATCTCCCCAATTTTACAAAGAACCTATGAAATTATTCACTAAGTTGTATGTTCAGGTTCAACTTACTTTATAATGTCTGTAACTATTGCCATCACAATATTTTATTACGTATAGAGTTCATTTATTCTTAGTAGTAATTGCTACAGTAAGCCTTTTAATGGTATTTTAAAAAAAAAAAAAAAGCCCTATGTAAGCCAGGAATTATTTATCATTTTGTTTTTATGATCTTAGCGAAGCTGTTGTGGGTAGGCACCAAATAGTTATTTCTGTTTCCATAGCTACGTTTGCTGCTACATTTATGTTTTTCTACTGCAGTATACTGTTGATTTCTGACGTTCTGTAGTCATTTTTATTGTAGTAATCCAAGCTAAATGGGCAGCCAGAGGTGTTATCTACTGGGGAGTAGTCCGTCACCATGGGCTAGATCTGGTTCCATGCGTAAATAAGTAAACCAAATTTTTTATTTGTTTAAAAATTTACAAAAGTGAAAGATATTAGCAATTTGCAAGTTAAAGACTACAATTTTAGGGGGAACTTCAAAAGTTTAACTTCCTGAAACCTTTTAAAATTTCCAGTATAAGAAAGAAAATGTTTGGAAGCCTTGTTATGCTCATGAACGTTTCAGTTGAACTCTGTAGAATTTTCCTAGCTATTGTGGTGTAAACGATATAGAAAATATTTTTCTATGAACAAAAGTTCAAAAGTGTTAACTTCTGTTACTTCATTGTTAGGGAGGAAAAAATGGTATTTGTATGTCTTTCATGCTGTAAAGAAAATGAATGTATCTTTTAAATGTTATTAGAATTATGACTTTGAGTCTAAGGATACCTTTCATTTGTTTAAAAAAAAGTCAGCAAGCAATTGAAAAGAAGGAAGGAAAAAGTATATTACACTCCATTATACAAAATGCAATTTAAGAGGAAAAAAGTGTAATTTTTATTATAAATGAGAATAACCATTATTGAAGCATATCTCAAATATAATGTACACTGTGGGGGGGGGTTGTTTTTTGTTCGTTTGTTTTCATTTTCCTTGTTTGGCCTCTAAGATAGGAAGTGTGAAGAAAGTTTGCACATGCTGTCGTTTTTAACCGTAGAGTGAGTGAATTCTAGACTTCTATGGAGTGTGCGAGAGCGTTTGTGCGTGAAGGCTAAGGTCCTGCTGTGTGTGTTTACAGTGGAGGAAGGTTCCCAGGCTCTGTCACCATGGCGGCCACAAGAGAGGGTGTCATTGTGAGAGTGTGACTTCGTTGAAGCCGGAAAACTGTGCCTAAAATTCACCCCAGTAAATATGTCGAGAGGCGCCTCCCGGCAACGGTGGGACAGATGGGCCGTGCCACACCCTCACCCGCAGCCGTGGTGACGTAGGCTTAAGGGTTTCTCAATTCAGCCAAACCAAAAAAACCAGGAAACCTTCATTTCAAACCAGCTGCGTGATTATTTTGCTCAAGGTCTTCTTTAAAAGGTAGTGTTTAGTCTTTATCACTCATAAAACTTGAGTCAACGGGGGCTCCATTATTTTGACTCCTCCCAACCTTTCAACGTTTTAAAAATCACTAGTTTCCTTTACAGTAAACGCTTTGTGACTTAAATACCCTGAACAACTGAAGGTTCTATCCGTCTCCCTCGATCCTGGAGTTCCCAAAGTTTAGCAGCTACTGTTTGTGGTACCCTTCAATAAAATGCCACGTTGCTAACATAGAATTATTGCCAGAAAACCGTCAGGGAGGCGATAGCCCTGCTCAGACCCCCAGACTCAAATAGATGCTGGTTTGTGGTTCCCCAAATCGGCTGTAGTCACGGTTGAGCCTGCTCCCCGTTTTATTACGAGAAGTTTCTCGTTTCTGTTTCTGAATTACTATCTTCCAGTTATTGACCTTCCTGGGCAAAGAAATTTTTCCAGCCCAATTTTGGGATTCTCTGGCACCCATCTTTTACCATCCATCAGAGAGTTGACAAGAATATTCATTTTTCCTCGTATTCTGTAGCATAGATTTAAATCTCAGTGCTAAAATTGATTTCTTGAATTTGAAATAGTAGCACTTTATTCCATGCTTACTACTGACTTAATTTATACATTTAAAAATAGAAACTATCCTAGGAGTTCTGTAAATATGGGAAAAATTGATTAGTATATAGAACATTGGATCGGACCCAACTTGAAATGCTTTACAATGATCTCTTGATAGCATATTTGATATTTAAGAGGTAATTTGTGTGATCTTAGCTGTACTACTTTTCTGTAATTTATTTAGTACAATAAAGACTACCCAGTTGACTGTCTTGCTTCAGCCAAGCTTGGTTTACTATGAACATTTCTGCCTTGCATTTTTTTTATACATTACATGAATACTTAGAAATCGGTTTGATTTGTTTTGTACCTGAGGGTTAAGGAGCTACTACAGCACAAGAAAGTTTTGTTATTAGGTACCTTGCAGTCTATTTCAACTCATGGTGACCCCGTGAGACAGAGTGGAACTGCCGCATAGGGTTTTCTTGACTGTGATCTTGACAGAAACAAATCAACAGGTTTCTCCCAAGGAGCCGCTGGATGGGTTCAAACCACCAACCGTTCGGTTAGTGCTCGAGCACTTAACCATTTTTGCCACCGAGGCACCTTCAAGTAAATTTAGGGGGTAAAAATCCTGACAGTGTATGTACTGAAGGATAGGATTTAAGAGGCTGAAACAGTTTACATTAAGCTGTTCTTATTTCCTGCCGTTCAAATATATCTGCTTTAAAAAAAAAACGGTCCAATCCAGTGTTCCTACAGCATCGGGACATTACAGTTACAATTCATATTGTAATCTTTTCAAATGAGAAACGCTCGTCTTTATTTCTATAGGGCAGATAGTTACTATATACTCATCAATGATATTTTTAAGTCGTAACTTTAAGAATAATGATTTCTGTGTAGAGGCTATTTTAATTTGGGCTTTTTTTTTTTCTTATAACAGGTGCTATATGTAAATATGAAGGGAGAAAAGTCATTTCGTCAACAGACTAGTTTATTTCCTAATTACAGTTTTACATTTCTGCTGTCATTTCATGTCTGGGTCTACTGAACTAGTAGCCAGATGGATAAGCCCCATAATTTTTTAGACTTTCTCCCACAATTTCACAAAATGTCTCTTCCCACAGGGTTCGTCCTCATGAGTAAGAGGCAGAGGAGCTAAGGGTTCATTTAAAGTGTATAAGCTTGAACTTGGTCAACACTGGGCAATCCGAAATCATCACTATGCATATGTCACTGCAGCTAATTGTGTGCTTGAAAGGCCTTGTATATTTGTCTTAATATCAGTGAAAAATTAAAATTCCTACCATTGATTCATGTAAAAAAAAATCTACAAATACTAAGCGCAAACAGGATAAAAATGCTGATTTGCATTAAAACTGTTTTAAGAGCAATTTACATTCTGTAGAAGGCTATATTACACATTGTCAGCCATATTTCATTGTGGTTGAGAAATAGTTGTTCAGGTGCAAACATGAAAAAACTCTAGCTGTGACTCTTCATTGTTCAATTGCAAAATAAAGATGTGCTTTTGTAATGTAAGATCTAGGAGTTTTGAAGATTATTTTATGGGAGTTTTCTGTCAGACTTCTCTAAAAATGATGATATTCATTAATGGGCGATCACTTAGAAGGGACTGGGAGAATGCTAAGTGTGGAATTTGTTTCTAGAATTACCGACTCCAACAGCGGATGTATTGGGGGAAAGTGGGATATAGAAGATGAAGGAACATCTAAAGAGAAGCTGTTCCTTCACTACAGCCACTGCTTGCCTCCCAGCAGCACCAGCCCCTCATTTCTGGCTACAGTGTTTCTCATATAAGACCCTGTCAATCAAAATAAAGTACCTCTCTTCCTAAGCCCTGGTGAAGCAGTGGTTAAGAGCTATGGCTGCTAACTAAACAGTTGGCAGTTCAAATCCCCGAGCCGCTCCTTGGAAACCTATGGGGCAGTTGTACTCTGTCCTATAGGGTCGCTATCATTCCGAACGGACTCGACGGCAATGGGTTTTTTGGTTTTTCTAAGCCTGAAGTCATCTTTCCTCATGTCTTCCCCAAGGGCAGTGGGTATACCATTTTTCATCTGGAAGAAATGGACTGAAAGAAGAAGGTAATAAATTAAGCAAGAAGTTAAAAGTAAAGATATATGATTATGCCATGTCTCTGTCCTTACGTACATGATAATAAAAATTCAAACAGTGTAAGAAAGATGAATTATGGAGGCCCCTTCCCCATGCCCTACCTCTACAAAAAGTCCCTCAAGCCAATGACATTTGAGTTTCACGTATATTTCTGGCCATGGGTGTGTGTGTACAGATACATTTACTAATGCTGGAGCTCATCCAGTTCCATCAGTGAAGTTTAAATTTACCAAAAGCACTTGTGTTTATTTCCTGCCCTACATATACGAGTTATAGTAACCTTTGGTATATCATTTTATTTTTACATATTACACGAGCCCATGGAATGTGAGTGAAACGAAAAAGTGTTCGGGTTTTTTTTGTTTGTTTGTTTTGAAAGCCTTATAAAGGTAAGTCATTAAAATTTTTAGAAGTAGGAATCAGCAAGACAGCAACGAGATTGACAAAAACAGATCACGCACTAGGGGTATGCTTTTTACAAGAAAGACTAAGGGATTATGATCAGTGGACTCAGACCCAAAGAAAAAGCCTCACCTTACATAAAAAGAATCACAAGTGGATATACATTTAGATGTTTTAAGCTAAAACAAAATTCGCATATTTTTTTATTCCTCCTTTAAATGATTTTTCATTTGGCCAATCAACCACTCGCTCTGATTCCATGAGATATGTGGCTTCTACCATAAGTTAGGAGCCCTGGTGGCGCAGTAGTTAAGAGCTCAGCTGCTAACCAAAAAGTCAGCTGTTCGAATCCACCAGCTGCTCCTTGGAAACCCTATGGGGCAGTTCTACTCTGTCCTGTAGGATTACTATGAGTCAGACCCGACTTGACAGCACCTAACAACCACCATAATTTGTGTAACACTTTCTCTATCGATAAGTATTTATTTGCTATAAAAACAATACTACAGTTAACATTCTATTATATACTCTTTTTTTACATCATGCTTGTACATATAGGTCAAGTGTATATAATATTTCAGTGTTTTATTATGATAATTTTCAAACAGAAAAAAGAAGAATTGGGCAG